GAGATAGCACATGGAGAATGACACCCAAGACTGTCCTCTGGACTCCACATGTATGTGCATGCATACACACACACACACACACACACACACACACACACACAAATTCATCTGCTTAGGTTAAGCCTGCTGGTTGTGGGACCAGAATGTAGCATTTATCTACTCATACCCCCACCCCAAGGTTCCTCTTCCAACACTTGACATTCAGAAATTCTTCAGGGTGCCACAAACTTCAGAGAGTTTCATGCTTTGCCTAAAATTCCTACCACGAATCATTTCTTCTTAAAGCAAGTTTCCCAAATTCAGATTCTGACATTGTCATGACTATCAGGATGTACTGCTGATTCTACTTACTTGTTTGGGTTTTTTTTTTCCCTTTGGAGGGGGTTGTTCCTCTGTTTTTATGAGCAGGGTCTCCCTATGTCACCCTGGAGGCCTGGAACTTGCTATGTAGACCAGGTTGGCTTTGAACTCGCAGAGATCTGCCTACCTCTGTCTCCTGAGTACTGGGATTAAAGGCATGTGCCACCATATCAGACTGAGTCTACTTATTGTTTACTTGGTATTGTTCAATAAACTGACTCGTAGTTATTATATAAATGCAACTGTTTTTAAGGGAAATTTTATATCACAGCTTTGAATAGAAAGTAACATTGCTTGTCACAGCTGTAAATTCAGAAATAATTTCCAGACAGCCTACCTGTGCCTTAACTCCTCCTTTATTAAATGAGATGGTGGCAAACGTGAAGAAATGTAAAAGGTTGGCGAGGGTGGAGGTGGATCTAGGAGAAGTAAGGGGGAATGGGAGTGAATAGGATCCAAATACAGTGTGTGCGTGTGTGAAATTCTCAAAGAATAAAAATACGACACCAAAAATGTCAAACAGGAGCTGGAGACATGACTCAGCGGTTAGAGTACTGGCTGCTCTTGCAGAGGACCCAGTTCAGTTTCCAGAACCCATATGGTGGCTAACAACCATCTATGACTCCAGTTCCAGAGGATGCAGTATCTTCGTCTAGCCTCTACAGGCCCTACATACATAGGGTGCACTTACATACATGCAGGCAAAACACTCATACACATAAATATATATATTTAAAGTAAATAACACCAAACCGAGATACTTAGGACTTAGGACTTAATATTTTTAAATTAGCGTTCTAGCCAGGCATGATGGTGCACATCTGATATCTCAGTACTCATAAGACTGAGTCAAGAGGATCACGAATTTGAGTTCCAACTGAGTTTAGGGCCAGCTTAGACTACATAATGATACTGTGTGTCAAAAAAAAATACAAAAAAGTTAGCTTTCTTTGTGAGTCACACTATTTATTTTGTTTTTGTTTTTTGTCTTTGAGACAGGGTCTCCCTGTAGCCCCAGCTGGCCTAGAACTCACTATGTAAACCAGGCTGACCTTGAACTCACAGAGATTCCCCTGCCTCTGCCTCCCGAGTGCTGGGATTAAAGGCGTGTGCTGCCATGCCCATCGAGTCACACTATTTAATGATAGCAGTTTTACACCTAAAACTGATAGTACGTGTTAAAATAAAAATGCACTGCCTGGGTCTAGGAAAAAGGCTAGAATGGTCATTAATGCCTGGTCATCACACCCTATTCCACATTCACTCAAATTTAAGCTTCTTACTGAACAAAACAAGATGTGGGTTTATATAACCTGAGCAAAATCAGGGCTTCACTGAACTATTGCTTGCCAGTAATTTAAACTATTCTTATTTTAAAGGCCTCCTGGAAGATTTGAGGAAATATAAAATTATTTTCATGATGGGTGAGTAGCTGCTCTCAAATTTCCTAATCCAGTCGCTGATAACAATATAATAGGAGGAGAGTGATGTTCATCTCCCACTCTGCCCTGCTTTGAAATCCTGCTAAGTTTTGCTTGTTTTGTTTTTGGTCAAGATAACGCCCTTGAGGTTTCCAGATGTTGCTTGCATGGATATGCAATTTAATATGGATTTTTTTTTGACCTTGTGTCTTTTCAGCATAGAAAAGGCAGGACTGTAAGGAAGATCCACTCCCTGAGTTGAGCTCTGCAGTAATAAAGCACATAATAAGGGCAAGAAGATACTGCGTGTTAATGTCCAACTGTCACCTTTGGTTTTTGAAAGCCAACCCTCTCCTTACTAAATGCTTGAGTGGTCATGTATGCAATATACGTCCCTAACCATACACTGTATTATGAAGAGTTCACAGTGAAAAACAGCCTGATTTGGGGCTGGGGATACAACTTAATGCTAGAGCACTTGCCAAATATGTAAGGTCCTGTGTTTGATCCCAACAGCGCTCTCTCTCTCTCTCTCTCTCTCTCTCTCTCTCATTTTCTGTATGTCCTAGCAGAATGAAGCTTGCAGATCATTTATGAGGTACTATGCCTTTGAGATTAACAATTTCTATGTACCTGCCATGCTCTAAGTCACCTTGGTTACGCAGTGTCGTAGTTCATTAGCCTAGTCCTATTCCACCTTACACAGTTGAGAAAGCATTAAGACCATGGAGCTAGAGGTTAGTTCTACTCATGGAAGTGAATGAAAGTGGGTACGCAGCAGTTAGAATGTAGGAGGAGATAGAGATGTGGCTTAGGGGCAGAGCTCCTGCCTACCGTGTTCCAGATCTTGGGGTCAAGCTTCAGTACCCTCTTAAAATTACAAACAGTTAGAACATCTCACAAAAGTTATGCTTTTTCTGTTTATCATTCATGTATATTTTTAGAAAGTACGTGTACCTTGCATATTTTCCAGAACAGTATCTATTTAAAATATTCAGAAATCATGAAAAGATCCACCACCACCCTTCACGAATGGAAAAATGGAGTCCACCATGGAAACATGATCAGACAAACTTTGAATCTTGTGTGCTGGATTCAGGACATTACCTTAGAAACCTCTGTAAATGTCCCTTATTGTCCGATGAGGAGGCCGACTTGTGAGGTTTGGTCAAGGTCATTGGGTCACCTCGTGGGAGTCTGGAGTCCTCGTGCCAGTCCTCTGCCCTCCACCATACAGCAGTGTGAGTTGTTGCCCTGGGTGTTCAGCCTCACTGGAAACACTGGACTGTGCTGGGAAGGACCAGGAGGCCTCCCATCCGACAAGAAAATAATGAATACATTACAGTCCTTGAGAGGTGTCCCCAGGAGTTAAAGAGTGAAACCAGAGCAATCCGACTAAGCATTGGGAGATCAAGGGGGTGATGAGTTCAGAGGGTGGCCAGGGAAGGGTTCCCTGGGAAGACAGCATTGATGCAGAGACCCAGGCCAGACAGGTCGGTGAAGGGTCCAAGGGAGGTAAGTGAGGGAAAACTGAATCCAAACACACGTGTCTGTGAGAATTCGGGAGCTTCACTTTGGTTCCTGTTCTCTGCCTGCCCCTAGTGCACCTGGGAACACAATCAACTCTCCAGTAGGATCTTCAGGAAGTCTTCAGGAACTAAAAGTACAATTCTCATCTTCCTTACTGGACATCATAATTCCAAAGAAAAACCCATCATGCTTATGGCTTACCAAAATTTTAAAAATCCACTTTCTGGGCATACAGACCTTATGCACAATATGTTGTTTTCTGTTCAGGGTTTATGTTAGAAATCAAATTAGAGGAAAAGAGAGATTTTTTAAAGCTTGATATCTGGAAACTCAGAGTAGGACATCTTGATTATCATATTGTTTTAATAATGTGATCCCCAAAAGCTTCTAACAATGACATAGCATGGCCTGCAGCTGTTTTTACTGCCTCTGGCAATTGTGTTTCCAGTTTCCCCACTGCTTGTGACTCACAGCTTATGACTTGGAAATACATTGGCAGATGTCACGTCTGTAGTATAGGCATAGCGTAAGACCCCAGCTCACCTGCTGCAAGGTCCTGCGCCCTTTAGACAAAGAGCACAATAATAAGAAATCTTAGACAGCAGACCAAGCATAAGCCCCTCCGAGGTCCACAGACCACACTCAGAGCTGCTGCTCAGAACAAAGGATTCTTTTTGGAGCTAACCAAACTCTCAAGTTGTTTTTTCAACTTATTGGTCAGCTACTACCTCTGGTTTAAAAAAACTAAAACAGTTTACTGATTAGCCAGAAGGGGAAAAGCCACTGTGATAGAGGAAATGAACTTCTCTTTTTCTGAGGTATCCACTAGACTATGAAAATTGAGGCCTTAGCTCTAAATACTTCCATGACAGATAACAGAATGATTGTATCATCACCCATCAATTTGGAGCTCATAAACCCTGAGGATGGTGTAGACAGGGCTGTAGATGTGTGGATAAATTTCTTTTTGAAACTAAACTGTTGTATTGTTTTGTTATTTTAATCACAGAATAATAATCCCTATCAGAAAACAGATAAAGAGATCTTACAAGCTTTCAAACAGCAAGCAAGTCACTGGGGATCTTGGCTTGTCAGTTTTAAACAAAGATACATGTAACTGTCCCCATTCAACAGCTTCACAAAGAAATCAGCAAAATCAGATTTGACAGTCTTTGAATGGTTTAACCTTGTAGGCTCCAAAGCAAACACTGAATAAAAAAAATAAAAATCATAAAGAGCCAGATGTGGTGACTCACACCTGTATTCCCAACACTTGGGAGATTGAGGCAGAGGGATTGCTGTGAGTTCCATCCCACTGAGCTACAGTGTGAGACCCTGTCTCAAAAATGGAGGAAGAGGAGGAAGAAGAGGGGGGAGGAGAAGGAAGAAGTAAAAGAAGAAGAAATGATTCACAAGAGGCAGCTGACTGTGTGAACCAAAGTCAAATGTTGCCATAGCCAAGTCCAATCGGTAAATTTGCAGGGTGAGTGTTTCATCCAAACCAGGACACTTGACAACCCAAGATGACATTGTCATGGGAAGCAACAGATAGAACTCAGGGCTGCCTGAGGCCGAGTAGGGCTTACAGTTAACCTGTGAATTTGGCTTCTTTTATTAAGGAGATTCCTGTTTGAGAGGCTCTGTGGGGCTAGAGCAGTGGGAGGGGCCGGGCATCAGAGGCGGGTCACCAGGTCATCCATCTTGTTGCCTAATGGGGAAGCAGAGGTGCAGATGGGGAGGGGAGGCTCACCCCCATGTTTGGGTAAATTTTAACAAGCAAGAGTCAGACAATTGCAGTGGTCGAAGTGTGGTTCTGTCTAGAGAAGATCACTGGACTGGGGATGTGGCTCAGCCAGCTGAGTGCTTGCCTAGCATGCACAAGGCTCTGGACTCAACCCCCAGCACAGGTAACCAGGTCTTGTGGCATATACCTGTAATCCCAGCACTCAGGAGGTAGATGCAGGAAGATCAGAAATTCTAGGTCATCCTTGACTGCAAAGGGAGCCTGTGGACAGCTTGGACTACATGAGACCCTGTCTCAAGAAAAAGAAGATTGTTGAACTGTTCAGTTTCTAATTAGTGTCCTAGCCAGCAGCACAGTAGAACTGCAGAATTAGCAGAGCGTGGGCTGACATGCTCGCTGTTATGCTTACAAAAGTTAATGTTCTGAAAACTCCCTGTGTTCAAGAATCTGTTAGTTCCTATAGGATGGGCCAGGCCCTGGCACACTGCCCTCATTACTGGCTCCTGGCTAGCCCCAATATGTCTTTCCTGCTCCCTGCTGCATCCCCAGGTCAGTCTTTGGCTCCAGCCCTGCCCACACCCCATTATCTCTTGAGGGGGCCTCCTTGCAGCCTTCCAATTGGGATGTCTTCTTTGGTATGTAATCATGCCTCGAGGTCAGCTTCAGCTTCTGGCTCCTGGAGACGTCTTCTCTAATCACCGTCTTTGCTCCTCTGGGTGCCCCATCCCTTGTGTCTGAATCGCTCATTTGGATAGGCTATAATGACCAGAAAAAAAAAGATAGATCTGCTGGAATAATGAATTCTTTGGGAAGTAGTGTAGTCTGTTTCCTTACCAACTGACACAGCAATTGGAATTCCTGGACTGGAACTGACAGACAGGTTGCTGCTGCTGTCACTGTGTCTTTTGGGAGAGTGTTCAGGTTAATTACACCCCTGCCCCATGCCCCTGCCTCACTGTTACAGGACACTACCACTGGAATAAGCAGCTTTCCCCTGAGTTTATGTACTTGCTCATTTGCAAGGCAGAGGCAAGTGGTAGCACTCTCTACCTTCCCAGTGGAAAAAATGTTCAGGAAAGGTGTTCCCTCTGTGCCAGAGGGACAGGTGGGAGGATAAACTTAGTTGACCTCTGAAAATTGCATGAATATCATTGTTCTCTTCCCAGAACAGTAGCTGTTTATAGACAAACACCTTGCCAAGGACACATAAGCAACCCCTGAGGGTAAAGCCAGAGGCTCACACTGCTTTGCAAAAGGCTTCACAGCTTTGGCTGTTCCCACATGGAAAAGCATTTGGAGGATTTAAGGATATGTTTTAAAGAGTTTCTCTGTGTCCCACCAACAGGCGCCTATCATTTTTCACCTTTTCTAGTCCATTTCCTTCCTTCTTTCCTTCCTTCCTTTCTCCTCCCTGCCCCCTGCCCGACCTCCATCCCTTCTTCCCACACTCCTTCCTTCCTTTGAACAATCAGTTATCACCCCATCCACTTTGGCTTCATTTTCCCTCCCCCACTTTCCACCACCTGCCTGTGTCCAAAACACGGCATCACCTCAATTCACACAGCTTCACCCAAAGCCTTGATAGAAGCGCTTCTGCTTGGAAAACACATCTGGTTAATCGAGTGGGAGACAATGCTAATGGCATAATGATAAGTCATCACTTGGTGCTGGAGCTTTCAGTGTGTCAGGGACACAGATGGCCTTGTTTACGTTGGTGTCGGTGCTGTGA